TAATCAAACTTCAAAAAACGGACTCAGAGTCAAACTCAAAGAGATCATTGACATATGTCCAATTCATTAGCATTAGAAAAATATGCATAATATAGTGTATTTATTGTATTAATAATAAAACAAATACCCCATAGCGCAACCCTTGTGAATTCATTCAAACCGGTGGTAGGGCCACGCAGCAGCCTCGGCTGTTGCACGAATGGGCAGACCCGTCCGGGTAAGTACCACGACCTCACAGAAGACCAGCGTAAAGTGGAAGTATGACAAATACTTTCGCGTTTCGTCTGGTGAGTGAGGTAGCCGGAGCCCAATTTTCAAAAGATTGTCAACGCATCTGTAACCCTCGAGTGTAGCAGATGTCCATGGGCGGTGGTATTCATTTACCATCAGGTGAACCGTCTGCTCGTTTGGCAACTTTTCACATAATAAAAACTTATCGTAAATAAGTCAATTATGTTCGCAACGTCGGTAATATACGAGACACATCATACTCTTGACATATTATTTTTTTTTTATGTAACAAAGTTCCAAACGAGCTGGCGGTTCACCTGATGTTAAGTGATAACCGCCGCCCATGGACATTTGCAACACCCGTAGGGTTGCACATGGGTTGCCCCCTTTAAATAAAGTGGGCCCCGGCTACCTCACTCACCAGACGAAACGCAGAAGCGTAACACCTCTACTTTACGCCGGTCTTCTGTGAGGTCGTGTTACTTGCCCGGACCAGACTGACCTGCCCATTCGTGCAACAGTGAACTGCTGCGTGGCCCTATCACAGTTATTAATTAAATTAATGTCTTTCGAAATTACTTTACTCTTATTATGCACGTCCCTGGAATCACTCAACCGTCGCTTACGACGCGCAATCGACCTCCGCATAGTAAAAGTAGTTTTAAACGTTCGTCTCACCAAACTGCTGTTTAACGTAGCATGTAAACGTTGGCGGTGGCATTGTCTCTCGAATTCTAAATTCGATTTTGTCTAGAAGCGGGCGACTGCTACTGAGCAATTTCAATCCAATTTGTCGGCGGTACCAGGAACGATATTTTCCACTCAATGAAGCAACTTTGTCAATCACATTTGTGCGCATAATATGTTGATTATATATTGTACTCATGTCTGAATGTATTTCAAACGCAATCATGTTTCCAAAATTGAGGCTAAGTAAAGTTCTGTTTGGATAGGGTTGCTACTAAATTGCATCATAATTCCATTTTTCTCTATCTTAATCTGTTAATCTGAAGAAAATAGCTAAAAATATTTCATTTATGTACACACTGAACTGAGAGAGAACTTACGTTTGCCAAACGTAATCTAGCAGTACAGTACATTGATAGATTTTGTTTTACACAAATACATTTACAATATTACATACTAGCTAAAGTTACATGTAAGTATATTCTACACTATAAATTCACAATGTTGAACGCATGTATAAATTAAGCAATTAATAATTAGACTTATTTTGTTGCTATTTTATATCAGTTTAAGATGTTATTTGACGAAATTCATCAGAATTTGCATAGAGGCTACGAAAATAAGTGAATAAATGCAAATGTACTTATCACGGAGCTCGGTTTGAACGTACACGAAATGTAATTTCGCTCGCCGCGACACCTATGCAGATGGTGCAACTTAAAATTCCTCGGCGGAACGGAAATTACAAGAATCTAACGCGCTCTCTCGGAGCGCCATTGAATAATTTTAATCAAATACGCCTTCGCGCGTGGCAACGGTTTATTCTTTATTGTACATAGAGTATAAGAGAAAACAAAATTACAAAAACAAATAATGTACAAAGGCGAGCATAACCCTAAAAACTATGATAGATTAGAACATTATACAAATTATGATAGGTAGGTGTGTAAAACCAGATATACTTATACTCTAAACTCGGTTATTAAATGTTTCAGCATTTTACGCTGTCTGTTGGTTTTTGTTGTTGGTGTTTGTTGTTGTTCCGTGCTAGGGCTATTTACATTCCTATTTCAACCTTAGTCCCATCCTAGCTAGTTACAGCCGTAGATAGTAAATACACTAGTTAATAATCTATACATCATCATCATTTCAACGAGCTGGACATTCATCTAATGTTAAGTGTTAACCACCGCCCATTGACATTGATTCGTTGCCCCCTTTTAATAAAGGGGGCCCCGGCTACCTCACTCATCGGACGAAACGCAGAAGCATAACACTTCTACTTCACGCCGATCTTCTGAGAGGTCGTGGCACTTACCCGGACGGACTTGCCCATTCGTGCAACACCGAAATCTGTTGCGTGGCCCTACTATTTAGAAAATAGTATGTCAAGTTCACCAATCCGCAGTGGGGTCGCGTGGTAGACTATGCCCTAATACCTTCTGTACAGAGGACGTCTTTGCCTTGTACTTTACTTTTGAACAAAAATTAATTATATTCTTCTCTGACAACAACAACGTTCACTTTGATGAAGAAAATGCATAATAAAGTAATTTTTGACGGGATTATTTTGCTTTAAATGTTGGATGCAAAAAGAATGCACAGGTTTACTTTAGTTTTGCATAAAATTGATTCTATTTACCGCCGCTCTCCCGTAACTCGCAGAGCTTTACCCTTTGAATATTCTTTTGAAGTGTCTGAATACACATATGAACTAAAAAACTTAATTAAGTTCCAGTGTACCTGTTTAAAACAGACTCCATCACTCAGATGAAATTAACTAGGGCCGAAATTTCTTACGTTTCATAGATTTTAGTACAGCAATAACAGGCTGGTGCGCCATTTTATATGAGTGTTAGAAGATTTTCTCAATCGAAATTTGTATAAATATATGATAAACGTTCGTGTTTTAACTGTGATGGGGCAGGCTCGTCCGGGCAATTACGACGGCCTCACAGTACACCGGCGTGAAGTGGAGGTATTATACCTTCGCGTTTTTTCCGGTGACTTACCTAACTGCACCGGCACAGCACACAAAGGAGAAGGCCCAAAAAGGCCACTCCCCCGATCCTATCCATAAAGGATTTTTCCCACGAAAAAACCAGCCACAGACAGCGCCCACTTTTTTAATATTGAATTGAAATTATTCGCCGTAACCATTACATTGCCAAATCAATTTCTTCTTTTTTATTTTATTTTACTTAATATTATTTTGCGGAAATTGGTATTGGTTATACGTTTAGTTAAATAATTCCAAATTCTGTTTTATGTGTAATTGTTAATGTATAACTGTTTTATGTCCCAATAAAAAAAAAATTTACGGATATAAAATGTTACTTGAATAATAAATATTTTATTGTTAAACATTAACGAAAGGTAAGTTAGTAAAATGATTAAAGAGCTCATTTGTACTTATTCAATAATATCCCACTGACTTATTAGAATTCATTGTCCGAACCTTGTCATCGATGAACCAAGTTCCCCTTTTCCTTCATTTATCTGGTGTTTCAAAGTTTAGTTTGTAAGATATTTAGTCAACGGAAGCATTATATACACATTTTCGTCATTATTTAAGATTGTGCATTGAACTGACTAGTATTGGGCTATCACATCTTCTGGACGTTCGCAACATAAAATAAATATCACCACCGTTTTATTAAAGAATTCATTCAAAGTCGTTAGTCGTACACGCAAAATCATAAAACAGAGTAATGGCCGGAAATGTTGAATGAAAAATGGAAAAGGAGAAAAAAAAAAGAAACGCGCCGCATCCGCCGTTCGAAATACAAATAAGTGGAATTAACTGCGCGTCGTCGGTCCGACGGCAATTATTCTCTGTCGGTCGCGCTTTTTCGACGGCCAGTAATTCCGACGGGCAATGTTTGCACTCGCCGCATCCATATTGCGAGCTAATAATTTATTGGCGCGAATTGCGATTTATTGATGGACGGGGAGGAGCGCAGTGGCGCGCCGCTGCGCTTAAACCGCCGCCTTTGTCGCCCGCGATTTATCGTGCGATTTTCACGCGAGGGCACTTCCAGCAGCCGTAACGCGGACCTATGACGTCACCCAGAGGTCAAACGAGGTCATTTAGCACCAGCTGCGATCAAATTTTCCCTTTTTTTATGAGAAGATGGAAAGCGAGCCGGCGGTTCACCTGACGTTAAGCGATAACTGCACACATTTGCACCACCCGTAGGGTTGCAGATGCGTTGCCACCTTATAATAAGAAAACCTGCCCATTCCTGCAACAGCAAAGACTGTTGCATACTCCTGCCACAGTTAATTTTTAAGGACGTATTAATAACTAATAAGACTCCATTTACATATAAATGTATGTAATATAAGTTAATCGCTAAGTTCTATTTCCCAGTACGGCCACTATAATCTAAATTAATACTGGCTACACTGTAAAATTTCGATACAGGCAAATGACAAACAAAAATTGAAAGGTATTCATAATTACCATCTCTAATTAAAATCTTATAAGGCGTACTCGTATCTATTCCCACTACTATAACACGAACAGCTGAAAATTATTCATAATAAAATCAATGTTGCTAATTAATACTAGCAACACTGGCATAATTAAGAAGTATAATTAAAATACTCAGTTTCATTAAACTACAGAAATTACTTTACCCTATCTATTGCTGAAAACCACATTAAAATCCGTTGCGTAGCTCAAAAGATCTAAGCGTATGTATAAGCGAATAATGATTCTAATCAGGTATATTGGTAATTACTTCAAAATTATTACTATTGTTTTACAGAAATATTTTTACTTTAATTGTGTAGTGCATAACGAAAATACAGAATCAGTAACCGAAATTGTGTACAAAGTTTATTATAATCCTTGTAATAATATAAAAGAAAGACTTTTTTTCCCAGTCCGTCACTTTACCAACTGTACTAGCTACCATCGTTATGAACTATTTGCGTTAGTAGACTAACGTTGAATAAATACCAAACACTACGTAATCCGTGCCAAGAGCAAAGCAAACAGACCAATCAGACGCGCAAATCAAAGTTGGAACATTCCAGAAGCGAGAAGAGCGGCGTCAATCAGGCGACAGCTAAATATGAACAGGACGGATTTCACGGTTGACCGCACAGCGTTTGTTCAAGCTGTATGGGCTGTACGCCGCAGCTCACACCGCTATCCGAAGCACACGACGTCTGCGGTGCGCACGGAACATCGGTCGCGGCCCGTTTGCCGTTACGGTGTAATGCGACGCCATCTGTCCCCGACATGCTTGGGCTCGGACCGCACCGAGACGGCGTTTATTGGGCTCTCGCGTGCGGTAATCGACGTTGTTTTAATTGAGTCCGCAGTGGATGTCGTGATTGCGAACAGATCACGTGGGGCTTTCAGCCGCTCGTGAATTGGAAGCGTCGGTTTATATGCGGTGCGGTTTTCAATTCGGCACGAATGAAACCAGCGTTTCATTCGTGCCGAATTTAAAACTTTGATCCCAAGGATCGTATTAGGACATTTGATTGGTTTTTAAATCGGAAACATGTTAAACATTTATGTAGTCATTTACATGTACAACTCAATTGGAGTGGGGAGTAGTGCACCTGCCTCTTGCGCCAGAGGGCATGAGTTCCACTACTGGAAAAACTCGTGTGATGAACATAGTATTTTTTCAGTATCTGGATGTTTATATATGTATAATAAGTTTTTTTTATGTCAAAAGTTGCCAAGCGAGCAGGCGGTTCACCTGATGCTAAGTGAATACCGCCGCCCATGGATATCTGCTACACCCGAGGGTTACAGATGCGTTGACAACCTTTTGAAGATTGGGCTCCGGCTACCTCACTAATCAGACGAAACGCGAAAGTATTTATTATACTTTTACTTGACGCCGGTCTTTCGTGAGGTCGTGGTACTTACCCGGACGAGCCTGCCTACTTGTACAACAGTCGATGCTGCTATGTGGCCATACCGCAGTGTATTTATTTACAAAAGAAAAACATGTTTAAGTTTATCTATCACTTTTCTAGTACTATGGATATAGTACGATCGTTGATTAGTTTGGGACTAGAGAACGTTGTGTCTGAAAATATATTTATTATTATTTTAATAAAAACTTAGTTTACCCTGTCTTGATTATTTCCTGTATTTGCGCTATCACACATTATAAATGAAACAATTTTTAGGGATTTATCCATTTTATTTTTCGTTTCGAACGCTTTTCTAAATATCGCTTTGATAAATCTGTAAAATAGTTTCGTTAACCTCGCTTTGCTTCTCTTAAACCGATTTGACAAACAATCACAGGAGGTAAAAGTGTAAAAAATTAGTTTACGAACAAACTTTTGACTATTGTCTTAAAGATATGTATCGTGACAGAAACGTTAAACGTGTGGTTGTTATTAGCTTAACGAAAACGAATTATTTCAAGATTATACACAGCACATACTGTACGGAGTCATAAACTCAATTATTGTAAAGCCTTTGAGCGGGTAGCGTGGAGGGAGTTTCTCGCCATTGTACAATAATTAACAATAAATTAAACTGTCATCAAAGTCATTACATCACGCTTCCTGAAAACAAATAGGGTCGTTAATAATTATGAAGCTTGTAAACTGAGAGGCCTCTTAAATGCAAGATATTTATCCCTTCTTATTTTTTATAAAATATTTATCAGCTGCGGGCTAATAAACAAGTGAATTACTTCATAAACGTTATATTACGTAATTGGTACGTGTATTCATTGTTGTAAATGGTAATTGTGTTCGTTCAAGTTCGTCCCATTGAATAAAACTTAATTATAACACACATAATATTTCTCATAATATTTTTAATGACATAACTTAACGATTTTTTATGATAGTTACTAGTGCTTATGATTTTAATATTTTTAAAATTTTTATAAAGACATCAGCATCGTGTAATTATTTCATTATAATATAAAATCATTGATAATTGCCTGGATTGTGACTGTCTGTTAAATATGAATGATATATCCAACACGGTTTGGCGAGCGCAAATAAGTTTTACATTATTGCTTGGGTTATACCAAGCAAAATTTTAAAATAGCACCAAGGTTGCTATCGTCCTTTTTATTGAAACGGAGGCAAATGAGCGGGCAGGTCACCTGGTGGTAAGAGTTCACCGCCGCCCATGGACACTTGTAACGCCAGAGGAGTCACAAATACGTTTCTGGCCTTTGAGGATAGAAGGTCGCAACGCGTCGAGTCTTACGAGTATACCCGAATACAACCACGGGGATGTAGTCAAATTACCAACCCGACATAAACGCTATCGTTAACAAGCGCCGACCGTGCAACGTCCTCGTCGACCCGGTCGAGGAAGACGAGCCCACCGACGGGGGTCCCGTCACATCACTACACACACAGTTAGTGCACCAATAAACGCCATAGTCCGTCCTCGCCTACAAGCACAGTGAAACCAACTCAACGTACACCGACTAACCAAGCACAGTCAACTGCCATCGGAGACACTGTCCGCACCAAACCTTGATAGCCCATAGGCGACACTCCTTAGTTAATCCTCGCAAGAGTACATGCGCGGCCCTACCCATTGCGGAGGGCCTCAAACACGTGGGCTCTGACCATCCCACGGGTTCTACGTTCGATGAAGCTTTATTAGGCTACGAAATGAAAACGCTAACATCATTTAAAACATAAGATGTAATAGGCCCTTCTTGAAGGTCCCTAAGTCGTCTATCTCTGTCTCTAGGTAAAGAATTTTGGGCACACGCCTATCCTTCGTTATAGTCAAAAGAGTTTTTGGACGTCACGGTTGTGAATGACGTATGAATAATAAGTGTGTATGTCAACGCGAATAAAAACGTATACGTGTGTATGCATGAATAGAAATGAAACTGCTCGCATTAAGCTGATGCGCGGCTACTTACAAATTCCCTTTCAGTGCGCCCTCTTCGCGACTTCACAGACAAATACATTAACTTGCTACGTGACTAAAAATGTGGTAGTAGTAAATCAGCGACTTAAATCTAATATGTCATCGTGTTTCTCATTCCTCAAAGGAGCGGGGATTTCTGGGGCTCGGTATTTCTGTAGTGAATCATCCCTCATGACGGATGATTAGCATTTTCCGTAATTTCTAAATCTCTCGTGTTCCATTTATTTTCTTTTGTAGGCAACAAGAGAAGAATACTGGCAAAGTTTATAGGCTGTTATTTCGTGAAACGTTATTGACAACACTTGAGCAGTGATAGCTCAGTGTCCGGGCGCTCGCCTTTAATTCAATATACTCGAGCAACCTGAGTTCGATCCCCGTTGCCGGCACCAATGAAGATTTTAACTTTAAGTGCTGACTTATCACGTGCTCCGCGGTGAAGTAAAACATCGTGAGGAAACCTGCATATTTTCGAAGTAATAAAAAAAATATTTCGAAGATTTATGTGAAGTCCGCCAATCCGCAGTGGGGCCGCGTGGTGGACTATGCCCTGATACCCTCTGTATAGAGGAGGCCTTTGCCCAGCAGTGGGACATTTATAAGCTGTTGCTTTACTTAACTTTACTTATTGACTAAATATTTAAACGGTCGAACTCACGTTCTTCAAAAGGCTGGGATAATTTCGCGGTCGCACACCGAGATTAAAAAATAATATAAATAACTATAGCACTAACGTGATGTAAAATTTCATAGTCTGCGTGTAAGTAAGCTTATGATCTTGACAGAGCAATTTGTATTTGTAATATATTTCTTTTACTCTAGGTGAGCATGTATAATCCTTGCTAATATTATAAACGCGAAAGTTTGTATGGATGGATGTTTGTTACTCTTTCACACAAAAACTACTGAAACCGGATTTTAATGAAACTACAATAATATAGTTATACAACAGAATAACACATAGGCTATAATTAATAAAGATAAATTTGAATTATCCAAAATATAACAATAAGTTTCAAGTAAGTAGGAAAAAATTCTGCCATCTGCGAGCACCACAATAGTGGTGTATAATAAAAAAACTCATTGTAAATTCCCTTTGACCGCGCAAGCGAAGCCGCGTTTAACAGCTAGCATAATACTTGAAAATCAACTTGCAGAAAGTTAAAAAATATTTTTATCAATTTTAAATATAGTTGCCTAAAACATATTTAAATTTTAAAGATAAAAATCGATAAAAACGGAATTTACGAAAGCATCATAAATACAACATTACGTCAATCAAAGAGCTCAGGCAAATGTGTAATTTTTATTGGAGCGTAAATGAAATATCACTCACTGTGACATTATTTACATAAGCAATACCATTCACAAAATATTCCCCCTTGGGGCATATTCCCAGGTCGGATGTTGTAGTGCATAAATCTATCAAACTGACAACATAGCTAAATGCGACCACAGTAAAACTTCACACTACGCTTGGAAACTTTATACACCGAAAAAGTTTTTCAAGTGAATAGAGAAAGAGCGTAAGTTTTTTCGCTAAGTAGAGATTATTCCGATTTAAGTTCATAATATTTACTGCGCATTATAACAAAAAGGTTATATATTTTTATTTAATGACAATATTGGTTAAATGAAACTGTTTTACGGAATTTATCGCGCTTTAAGTTGACGTTAAATTCCGGATTTAAAATCAAATTTAAAGACGATAAAACCAGTTAAACTGTTTCATTTCGGCATACATAATATTCGCGTAAAAACGATAAATCATTAATAACCTTATAATAATAAGAGGCATTCGGTAGCATTGGTGGAAAGCACTATACATTATACTAGCGACCCGCCCCGGCTTCGCGCTAGTTAATAAATTTATAATATTCTTAGAGTATCTTTTATATAACTAAATATTTAGTAATAGAAAAACTATTCACATAGAGGACATAAAATGTTTACTGGACATTTGCCAAAACGGCATTTTACCCGAATTCTGTTTATCTGCGTGTGACAAATTCGGAAACTAATATCTTGTGTTAAGTGAACCAACATCTTTCTAAACGCAATCAATTGATTATAATATCGTCTAATTCCGGAAGAAAATAGAAAATAGCAATATTTTTAAATTATCAATTTATTGAAAATAATATAACTTATGAAGTAAATTAAAACAGTTAAATATTAATGAATATACTAGGGTGTAGCGTCACCAATAATGTTTAAAAAGAACATAGGACTTGACCAGTAGAAGCTTCGGACCTAACCGTCTTTTATTCTCTTATTTGCAATTGAACTCGTTAATTTGATTTTTCTAGGAACATAACACAATTGAAATTGAGTTGTTATGTTGGATTTATTGAATTTCAATAGACAGACGTGAGTGTGTGGAGTCTAGTCGTAGACGATTATCACGGTATTGGCAACGGTCGAAAAATTAAAATGTAAAATGTATATACATACGCTACTCGTTTATATTTATGTTGAAAATTTGCTTAA